AAAAAAAAAAAAAAAAAAAAAAAAAAAAAAAAAAAAAAAAAAAAAAAAAAAAGATTTTATGAGCCCTTTGAGAAATATTACTCGCTACTCCAACAGTCCAACTTCATATTTCCTGTGGCCCCTGGCATGATTAGTGATAAAAATACAATGTAGAACAAAATGTTATATTATCCTTTAAGTTTGATTTTTTTCTTAAATTTCATGTCAAATCAAATAATATTACAAAAATTGAAACGGAGAGTAATAAGTGTTAGGTGTTTGCCATAATTTTCTTACCATATTTGGTTTTCCTATCTCTTGAAGGAAAAGGGCAATATAATTACCTTAACTGGATTTTCCTTTTTGTAAAAGGAAATTATAAATCTCCAATATTTGGCTAGTCCTTTTTCTTGTAGGAAAAGGTTTGGACTTCTATAAATTGAGGATTCTTCCTTCTCATTCAGTAGCATCCACAATGTAGCCGTATGGGGTTTGAGAGTCGTGTTTAGGGGGAAACTTTACGGGACAAGTGTTAGTGTGTCACTTGTGTTTGCCTCTTCATGAGTTGTTCTCTCGATATTTTGTACTCTCTTTTATTATAGTGGATTGCTCATCTCCGTAGTGGACGTAGGTCAGTTGACCGAACCACGTTAAATGTTTGTGTCTCTTTTGGTAGATTTTTCGTTGTTGTGTGATTTATCGTCGTTCAACGTTTGCTTTGCTAGATTCCGCATGACACCTGATTTTTCGGTCCTAACAAGTGGTATCAGAGCGAGGTTCAAGACAGGTTCATCTTGGCGTGTTCAGTTCTAGCTGCAACATATTTGACGATAATCGTGATTTTTTGTCTGAGAAATTTGACCGGAGTGCTGCGCACGTTGAGACAAACTTTGTAGCGGAGTTTTTGAGATGTGACCTGTTGAAGGCTATGTGTAGAAGGTGGATCAAGTTTATTTTGTCAGAAAATTCAGGCCAAGGGGGAGAATTGTTAGGTGTTTTACCATAATTTTCTTACCATATTTAGTTTTCCTATCTCTTGAAGGAAAGGGCAATATAATTACCTTAATTGGGTTTTCCTTTTTGTAAAAAGAAATTATAAATCTCCAATATTTGGCTAGTCCTTTTTCTTGTAGGAAAAGGTTTGGACTTCTATAAATTGAGGATCCTTCCTTCTCATTCAGTAGCATCCACAATGTAGCCATAGGGGGCTTGAGAGTCGTGTCTAGGGGGAGAACTTTACGGGACAAGTGTTAGTGTGTCACTTGTGTTTGCCTCTTCATGAGGTTGTTCTCTCTATATTTTGTACTCTCTTTTATTATAGTGGATTGCTCATCTCCGTTGTGGACGTAGGTCAGTTGACCGAACCACGTTAAATGTTTGTGTCTCTTTTGGTAAATTTCTCTTTGTTGTGTGATTTATCGTCGTTCAACGTTTGCTTTGCTAGATTCCGCATGACACCTGATTTTTCGGTCCTGAAAATCTCCTTAGTCATGTTGCATTTTATAGATTTCCTTGGTCTTTATGCAAGATTGTGTTTCCTTTTGTTTTTTTTCTTTGGTCGTACAATTGAACTAGTTCCTCAATTGAAGTGTGGTGGCATATGTGGAAACCAACTACAGCTTTTGTCCGAAAGTGATCTATCTCGATCTCCCCAATCCCTGCGCTGTTATCTTGAGCCTAGTGGCGCACCCACTTTTCACCTAACTATCTCGAGGAGTGGTTAATAAAAAGTGATATTATTTGCCATTTCCTGAATAGCAAGAAGCAAGAGATTGAATATGAAATGCTTTTAAAGCCCTTAATATGTTTAGTCATGTCTTCCTTGTGGTAAATATGCAGGGGCGGATTTAGGGGGCGGAAGGGGGTTCACCCGAACCCCCTTCGCCGAAAAATTACACTGTATATATAAGGTAAAATCTGATTTTTACCTCTATATATTAAGTTTTGAACTCCCTTAACACAACCCAAAAGTGTAGTTTAGTGGTCAAGGGAGTTCAAAACTTTCATAAGGTTGTACGTTCAATTCCCACTAGCTACAAAAAATTTTTTTGAACCCCCTTCGTGGAGATCCTGTCTCCGCCACTGTAAATATGTGAGACTGACTTTTCACGCAGAGGTGGGAAAATGAATGCATATTTCCCTGAAGTTCAGTCCGCGTGAAGTTTTGGTTAAAGACAGAAGGTAGAGAGTATTCATGGTCCTGAAGTAATGGAGGGTGAATTAATAGAATTTGGAGAGGGCACAATAAGCATTAATTGGTGTCGTATTACCTATAAAACAATGCTGCTGTCGTATTAATACGTGATGGTTTATTGATACAAGAAGGAACTTCTGTAAGGGTGTTTAGCAGACGAATGCAACCTTATCAGCGAAACTTGGTTGCTTAATTGCCTGTTTCTCCATCAAGATCAGATGCGGACCTACCCTTAAGGTAGGGGGTAGGGGGGGTCACATGCCTCCGGTAATTACGAAAAAAATATATGTATATATGTTCTTAAAAAATAGGTACAGTATATATTTTGATAGGCACCCTAAGACTCAAAGCTTAGGCACCTGCAATGGTCGATTTGGGGGGTATAACTTGACTTTTAGTCCGCTGCCCGGGTTCGATCCCCAGTCCTACATTTGCTCAAATTTTTATTCGATAGTGGTGCCCCCTTCACTTTCAAATCCTGAGTCCGCCTCTGATCAAGATGGGATGAACATGTTTATTGTATATTATCTATGTTACTATTCCTGATTACTACAGTTTTTTGTTTTGTTTATTACTATGTTTTATTTATCTTTATTTTTATTCAGTGTTGTAATTTTACAGAAAAAAGACAGTTATTATATGGATAAGAAAGCATCTGGCAAGGAAATCTCTGAGGAAGTGACTCGGGAGTCACTAATCGCCATATCATACTCTGAACCAGAGAAGGATCTTTCGATTGAATCTGAACCTGAAAACTCCAACCGTGAGAATGTGGTGAAATCTATTAATGAAGACGAAGATAATAAATATAGATCGGAGTTGATCTCGATATCCTATGAAGAGCCACCAGACACTGAAGTTGAACAAGTTTCACCTGGAGAATTCAAGGGCTAAATAAAAACAGCTGGTTTTATAGGCCAGCTCCATGTTAAAAACTCTTCTTTTGCTACATGTTATTTATTCATAAAGGACTGGACATTGCTTAAAACTTGCAGCGTTTCATGTATTGTACATTTGAAATCTGTTGTTGTAATCAGTGGCAGAAACACTCTTTACTAGGGGTGTCATCGGACACCACTTGGCGAAAATTGTTACTTATATAGAAGTGTAAATAATATCTTTTTTTTCTAAATAAAATTGCTGTATATGTGTACGGTAGGTCGCCATTGCTTAAAATAACAGAAAGTAAATATCAATTTGGAACATAAGTTAAAAATTTAGTACCTTTAAATCACTACAGTGCCAAACTCAAACTCACTTACAAGATGAATTCTACTGATAATAGTTTGATATGCTTGGTTTGTTTTGAAGTATAGCTTTTGAATGAAGGGTTGTTGACAACAGAACAGCATGAATATTTTTTTTAATAAATTGGTCAATATAACCTAAATTATTCACTTGTTCATTTTACTTGCCACTTCTCTCAAATTCCTAAGATTATTTTTGCTAAGTAAATTCGAGGAGTGGCAAGTCCTTGCTTTACTTGCAGATCTACAGTCTACTCAGCTTAAGCGTATTAAGAATAAGTTTATTTAAGGCCAAATATCACTTTTACCCTATCGAAATTATTTACATCCGATACCGCAAAAATATATAAAACTATATAGATTTATATATAACATGCATAAATGTATATATATACAAAAAATATACTTTTTTTAGCTTTATTTTGTGAGCGGCTATACAATGTCATTTTTCATTCATTTAATACACTCATAATTATTCTAGAAATGCTTTTTGCGGGTTTATTTTGTTACTTTGTACATACAGAAATTGATTTTCTTGCTTCGAACTATTAGGTAACGAATGAAATATTATTCATAGAAAATTATAATCTCATGTTCCCTGGTGCAATGGCCTTAATGTGGATTTTACAGGCCCAATGGACTTCCTCAGGCCCACTTATTTTGATTGGGCTCAGGATTCTCATCAACATGACTTCTTGAGATTGAGTTTTACAAGCTTACTCTATTAGTTCTCTTTATGTGATGCATTATTTATTTTTAAAGTTTCCAAATTGTTTGAGGCAGCTTAACAAATAATGTATATGTATAGGGTAAAATATTTTCATATTAAATGCTCGCATAATAAAGCGACACGTGGAGTCGAAGGCAGAAGGCAATCATGCCCGAAGACAACAATCTCGTTTATTCCCGAAAGGAATGATGTTCATAAGGGCGAAATAAATGCCTGCCACCCGATGGCATTTAATGGAGAATATAATATAGCATTAAGTACGCAGTCCGTTATAGAGAATATGACATTCATAGCTTGCCGTTACACATTCTTCAATGGCACCCATAATTATCATTTAAGAGGGGCTTGATCCTAGGACCTTGTTCCCTAGGTACCACCATAAATAGGGATTCCAACAACCATTGTAGGGGAGGATTTTCTGACAAGCTTATACGATATACTGTTCAAAGCTCAATAATATTTTATCTTCTTTCTTATTAATATCGTTACTACTGCCTCCGGAAGCTCTGCTCCGGAACCAAGATTTCTGCTGTCTTATCTCGATTTCAATGCTAAGTTTCACATTCTTGTTTAATTTATTTATCATTTTGGGATCAAATTGATTCACTTGTCTATAAACTACGTACAAATTCAACTGTATCGCTTTACGGGTAAATAGTTTGGCGCCCACCGCGGGGCTTAGACAGTTGTGTAATTGAGTTGATCCTTGCATCTATTACTAACCTATTTGATTCCTTGTTCTTAGCAAAAACCATAGAAAATGGCAGATAACGATGTCAACATCGCACATAACGTTGAGTCCCAAGGAAATCAGCTTCAACACAAAAATTCAATCAGTGATACCCACAACGAGGGGTATGAGGCTACGCCGGTCCACGACGGGCAATATCCACGACATGTTCGAGAAGCAACTCCTGATGATGCTGAAGACGAGCACGTCGTTGAAACAGTAAGGATCCTGAGGGAGCAACAAAAAGCCATTATGGGCCACCTCTCACGACAGGATCAGGTCATGACGGAGTTGAGGCAGGCGTTGTCATGTGCTTCTAACAACACGAATGGATGAGGTCCAGTTTCTCCCGGTGCTCCCGCAAACCAAATAACGCAGAGGGTCGACTATAACACCCCGAGGGGCGAAGTCGGCTTTGACAGGTCCGGGAGGAATGGTAGCGGTTCCTGTAACAACAATGAAAATGATCCCTTTAAAACCGAACTCATGCAGTTTATGAGGGAAATAAACGCCCGAATAGATCAAATCCGGGCGCACCGCCAGTGTTGAAAGGACCAAACTCAAAGAAGTACACCCAGTTGCCGTTAGCGCGGCACCAGAATTGATCCCGAAGCGGTTCAAAACGCCAGACATGCCGAAGTATGATGGGACTTTGGATTTTCAGGAGCACATCACCACCTATACAACAGCGGTGAAGGGGAACGATTTAGCTACCCACGATATTGAGTCAGTCTTACTGAAGAAATACGGGGAGACCCTCACGAAGGGGGCCCTAACATGGTATTCGCTCTTGCCCGAGCACTTAATAGATTCCTTCGAGATGCTCGCGGATTTTTTTATCAAGGCCCGTATCGGGTCCAGAAAGGTACATGCCCGTAAGGTCGATATATTTAGGATTGCACAAGGAGAGTCCGAATTGCTGTGGGAGTTCGTGACCAGATCCCAAATGGAAAGTATGCTGCTACCGGCCGTACCAAATGAATGGGCAGCTGAAGCATTCACTAAAAGACTGAATCTGAGAAGTTTCGACGCTTCCAAAAAATTGAAAAAGTCTGCTCGAGTTCCACGCAACAACATGGGCAGATGTTCACAACCGGTATGAGTCAAAGATAAGAATTGAGAATGATCAGCTCGGTTTCACGGCATCAACCAAGGGTCGAGACCGGGAAAAGAATAAGGAGAAATTAAAGGATGATTTCGACATAGATCAACGGTCTTCAAGAGGTCAGTTTTGCCCTATGCAAGGGCCGAAGGACGCGATAGAGGTTTCCGATCGGCGGATAGATTCGCAACCGATAGGAGAACTGATCGCGGTCGGAATAACAGATCACTGTAGGACAAGAAGATATCGGGTTCCCGGGACTCTTCCTACCCCAGGCTTTCCGAATACAACTTCAACGTCAGTGTAGTAGAGATAGTTTCGGCTATGAGGAGCATTAAGGAAGCACGGTTCCCGAAGTCAATGAGTCCGATCCAAGTCAAAGAGATCCTAATTTATGGTGCGAATACCACGGGACCAATGGCCATCGGACATGGGACTGCCGGTATTTGCACGAGGAGGTGGCGACATTACTGAAAAACGGCCATCTCGGAGAATTATTAAGTGATCGGGCTAAAAACAACTATGGCGGAAATCGTGATAACACGAAACCTTCGAAAGCAGGAGAAGATCCTCCACATTTGATGATCAACATGATTTTCGAGGGGAACGAGATAGCTGTGGTGACCACTTTTTCCCTGCGAAATATCCTTCATAAACCTGAACTTTCGGGTAGGCTAGCCAAGTGGGCAGTCGAGATGAGTGAATTTGACATAGAGTATAAACCTAGGATTATGATTAAGTCACAAGTTTTGGCCAATTTTGTGCCTGACTTCAGTCTGGGACTGTTACCTTTGGCTACCAAAGAAGCAGTGATGGTGTCAGAATCGACTTCAGGAGTTTGGACTTTGTTCACGGACGGAGCTTCTAATGTACAAGGGTCCGGGCTCGGCGTAGTGCTAATCACGCCCTCGGGGGAAACCCTAAGGCAGGCCATAAGAACCGTTCCTCTAACTAACAATGAAGCAGAGTTCCTCTGACCCGGGGTCTGGACTCCGAGGTCATAGAAATCAAATGCGACTCCCAATTGGTAGTAAATCAGGTCTACGGGATCTTCGAAGCCAAAGAGGAATGCATGCAACAATATATAGTGAAAGTCCAGGCTCTGCTCGGATGGTTCAGGGAATGGTCAATTACCCACTTTCCGAGAGAAGAAAATGCGGAGGCAAACACACTAGCTAATCTGTGATCGTCTACGAAAATGAAGGGATCGGACTCTGGTACGGTCGTGTAGCTTATGCATTTGGTATTGGACGCAGACACCTATTACGAAATAAACGCATCCAATTTGGTCTGGGACCGGAGAAATGAGATCATTGACTATCTCGAGCATGGAAAACTTCCTGAAGATCCCAAGGCATCTTGGGCGCTGCATACTAAAGCAACTCGATACAGCTTAAGGGAGGTCAATCGTATAAAAGATCTTTCCAAGGCCCATTGGCCCGATGTTTGGGGGCTTCCGAAGCGAACTATGTCATGAGATAAGTCCACGAAGGGATCTGCGGAAATCACTCGGGCGCGGATTCCTTAGTTCTAAGGCTAATTAGAGCGGGATACTACTGGCCCCGGATGGAACAAGACGCTAAGGATTATGTACAAATATGTGATAAGTGTCAACGCCACGCACCGTTGGTACATCAACCGGCAGAGCTACTACACTCGGTTTTTTCCCTTGGCCATTCATGAAGTGGAGGCTGGATATAGTCGGTCCGCTGCTGCCAGCCCCGGGTAAAGTAAGATTTCTTTTGATTTTAACTGACTATTTTTCTAAATGGGTTGAAGCAGGTCCTTACCAGAAATTTGGCGAGCGCGAAGTGGTAGATTTCTTGTGGTAGAATATAATTTTCAGATTCGGGATATCGAAAGAGATAGCTAGCGACAACGGACCATAATTTATAGGCGCAAAGGTCACAAAATTCCTCGAAGACTTGAAAATCAAAAGGATCACATCATCACCCTATCACCTGAGTGCAGACGGTCAAACAGAATCAATAAACAAGGTGATTATCCAAAATCTCATAAAGAGATTAGAAGCAGCCAAAAATGTACTATTGTTGACGAGCATCGCCTATACTTAAAGTATGTGCTACACTCTTTTTTCCTTCGTCCAGTTTTTAGCCCAATTGGATTTTTCTGGCAAGGTTTTTAACGAGGCAGAAACGGAAAGCATACTACAAAGGAAGCTTCGTCATCAGAAATAAGACCTTAAAATGACAAGGCATGCAGATCACGGATCACTACGGAGCGGTTAGATAGTCTTTTGCTCGGTAGTAGAGTTCCTACCAGGAAGTAAATTTTACTCTCGGTCCAAAGATTACCCGACCGTTCACGAGTGCAAGCTACTGGG